TATGATAAGTTTGTGTGCTGATGGGAGTAATCCAATAGGGAAGGAAAACTAGCTGGCCCAAGGTGTGGTTTTGTGAATGCTTTGTTTCTAGTCTAAGAGGAGATAAGTAAAGGAGTTAAGATTAAATAGAAAGCCAGGCTGGTGTGGCTCAGTGATTGAGCATTGACCCATGAACCAAGAGGTCACTGGTATGATTCCCAGTCAGGGCACATGCCTGGGTTGTGGGCTCGATCCCCAATGTGGGGCATGCAGGAGGCAGCCAATTGGTGATTCTCTCTTATCATTGATATTTGTCTCTCCCTCTCTCTTCCTCTCTGAAATCAATAAGAATATATATATATATTTTAAATTAGAAAAAAGTATGGCAGAAACTATCAACTCCCTTGTTCTCACATAAAGGCCTGTCACCATGTCTTACATCTTTCTATTTCAGCAAGTGCCTGGCAGTGGGTTGTGCACATGAAAGTGATTATGTTCATCAAGAAAGGCTTACTTTTTGGCTCCGAAAGGACCCTGTTTGAAACTAACCATATAGTATGTGGATTGTAATTCTTGAAATTAGCTAGATAGACATCATGGTCTGCTGAGTGAGGAAGGTGAAGCATAATAATTTTAAGCATATAATAAACATTTAGAAATGGCAGCTTTGAAAACTTATTTTTAACGTATCACACATATATTTCCTATATAGAGCAAAGAAAATAACTAGAGAAGATGGGTGTATAAGAACACAGCAGGTCCCCTTATATTTTCTTTACACTTCTTTTTCTTCCTCCATGAAAAGAACACCCTACAAGGCAAACTGTGGAAAAGCCTGAGAGCCAGTGTACACCTAACTTGGATTCTGTGTAAAACTCTGGCTCTTGACAAAGTCATCGGGTGTGGTATTTACATTGCGATTCCCAAAGCTAAATATAAACTTTAAAACATCTTTTTTACTTAATTGACACAGCAGAGTTACTTTTAATTTTTTGGTTATATTTGAATATTCCTTTTATAACAGGAGGGAGTAAAGTTGATATTTGATAAAGGCAGACATTACAAAATTAAATGGCTTTAAAATTATACATGTATAGAAATACAATTAACTGCTTTTGTAGTTCTCCCCTCCCACCCCCC